TTTTAATTTTTTTTTCTTTTTTGCTGCACCATAAAGTGAACCTCCAAATGATATGATTGAATGTATGTATGAAAAATATATAATTTTTAAAGTTTCTTTTTCACAGGAGGTTTTAATCTTGTTAACTCATAAAGGCCAGATGAAAATTTCATAATGATGATTCCACTTAAAATTTTCATCAATTTCTAATCCCAAGAATTTGATGTGGTCTTTATTTTGAATTCTGTTGTTATTAACTACAATTTTCGGCAGATTTTGAAGTTTAGTTTTTCCTGCTTGGCAACAAATAAAAATTAGTTTTATCTGAGTCCAAACGCAAGTTATTTGAATTAAAAATACCCCCGCCGCAGCACACCTGCAGACTAAGCGAATTTCTATTTGCCTGATTGGATCAAAATGTCTCCTTAAAATATATATCACATTTATTTCCTAATTAAATAACATTATTTTAACACTTAGGTTGCTGTAACAGGGAGGGTAAAAAGGTGTTTTTTTGTAAAATGGTAATAGTTTAGTATGAAATGAATGCATTTTCCAAATTTGATCAAAATATGTTCATAAACAAGCAAACTACAACAGTTTACTTATTCTCTATAAGAATAACATGGGAATTTTAAATTTACAGTTTTTTTGGAATATTCTCCGTAACCATTATAGTCCAGTAAATCTGTCAGAAAATATGGGGTTGCTGTGCAAAAGGTCGGGTAGTTCTGATTTTTGGATATGTTGTTAGTATTGGGCCCATAACATAAAATCCAAGTTATCCACCTCGAGATGCTGCCGCTCGCCGCGGGGCGCGCCACTTGTTATCGAAATATAAAAAATATGACAATTCCTATTGTTTTTCACTCAATATCGCGAACCGCTCATTTTACCCAAAATTTTATATTATTACATTAAAGAAGAATACATTTGTGACAGTTTAAGCCCAACAGCAAGTATGTAGCGTAAATAATGGTCAAAATTAAGACCATCAAAATAAATAAATTTTCCAAAGACCGATAAAAATTGTGGTTTTTTCAATATTTCCACAATTTTAGTGTTTGAAGCAAACACCGTATTGATTTAGAGAGTATGCCAGTTTATTTGCTATTAATAGAAAATAAATGAAAGTATGAATAAAAATACCCCCACCTCAGCAAACCTGCAGACTAAGCGAATTTCCATTTGCTTGATTTGATTTTCACAAACCTATTTAAATAACATTAGGTTTAACTGGTGCCTAGGTTTGCTGCTACAGGGAGGGTAATATAGTATATAAAATAATAATAGTATGATAAGAAACAAATAAATTTACACAATTTTGTAAAAATGTGACATGACAAATGATTGAGTGAAAAACAATAGGAATTGTCATATTTTTTATATTTCGATAACAAGTGGCGCGCCCCGCGGCGAGCGGCAGCATCTCGAGGTGGATAACTTGGATTTTATGTTATGGGCCCAATACTAACAACATATCCAAAAATCAGAACTACCCGACCTTTTGCATACCAAAATGTTTTATTTTACTGGACTATTAGGCGCATAATAACGCTTCAATATACTAAATTATTTGTTGTTTTAAGCTCTACAAAATGGTTTGGAAAGCAAATGCTAAATTTTAAGTTTTTAGGGTCAAAAATGGGAAAACCCAATTTTTACCCCATAAAACCCCCATAAACCCCCGTTCCCATAGTCCGATCATGCTGGTTTGCGAACTCGTTTGAATAAACGTAGGTTTACACGTTTGTACCACATTTCGTCAAAATCGGATGATTTTTGCTCGAGTAGATAGTACTACTATAAGTAGATAGTAATGTACCAATCCTAGACCAAAAAAGGAAGACTTTAATAATTTAATGAAATTTGCAGTTTTTCAATACTTGTATGTTAAATCTTTGCCTCTTTTAGGCCAATTTTTAACATTTTTATATTTTTCTAGAAAAAGTATACAATTTTGATGAAATTTTCACTAATATGTCTATATTTTCCATAAAATTTACTACAAAACAAAATGTTTTTAAAAACAAGTAAAAATTCTTCAAATTTTCTAAATATTTCATTTAAATTATTGTTTTTTGTAAATAATATTTTTCCTATTTGAGTTATTCAAAATCTATTAAAAGTATTGAATTTCTCAGAAAATTTTAATGATATTTGATGTATTACAAGTCCATATTTCATTTTAAATAATTTTAAACTTAAACATGAAATGTTATCAAAAATGATAATCTTAAGATAAAAAGATAAGTATTGATTTAAATTGAAAATAAATATCACCAATGAAAAGCTTGTTAAAAATTAATGCTATTTTATATATTATACTTTTCCTACTTTTCTGTATGATTAAAGATAATGTAAAAATCAACAAAAACAAATTTCGTTGTAAATAGAATCTTATTGAAGGAATATTAGTCTATGGCCTAATTTGTTTGTTCGATCTTTTGATGAAAATAAGCGATTGAATAAAATAATAACCAATTAAATGTTAGTAAAATGCAGTGTGGATTAAAATAATTATTTTTGATTTATTTAACTAATTGAAAAGTATTTGATAATTAATGCTTAAAATGTATAATCAATGCTTAAAATCTTACGCTAAATAGTTACTGAATGAAACTAGCCGATTTAACAAAAATACCCCCACCGCAGCAAACCTGCCGACTAAGCGAATTTCCATTTGTCTGAATTGATTTTTAATTAAATCTATTTAAATAACGTTAGGTTAAACGAGTACCTAGGTTTGCTGCTACAAGGAAACTACTGTGGGGTTTTTTAGTAAAATATTAATAGCTTAGTGTAAAATAAATAATTTGCCAAGTTTTATCAAAATATATCCATAAACAAGCAAACTACAACATTTTACAATATTCTCCATAAGAATAACATTGGAATTTTAAGTTTATAACTTTTTGAATTTTCTCCGTTACTAATAACCGTACAAAAACACTTTGATATACTAAATTATTTGTTTTTTTAAGCTCTTTAAAAAGGTCTAGAGAGAAATTGGGAAATTTTGTGTTTTGAGGGTCAAGAATGAGAAAAACCATTTTTTACCCCATAAAGCCCCCCGGAAAACCCCGTTCCCATGGTCCGATCATGCTGGTTCGCGAACTCATTCAAGTTTATCCTGCCTTACACCTTTGAACCAAATTTCATCAAAATCGGACAAAAATTACTCAAGTTATCGCGTTCACGGACGTATATATATATATATATATATATATTTAAATCTATATATATATATATATATTAAATATTTAAGTAAATAAGTACAACTGAGCACCCTGAATATTATATTTTATAAAATATAATATTCAGGGTGCTCAGTTGTACTTATTTACTTAAATATTTAATATATCAGCAGCCCTATTACGTGAACACCTAAATTAAAATATATATATATATATACAAATTTGAACGGATGGTGTTTTTGGCCTCTGGTGACCTCAAAACGAAAAAGTAAATCGGTCCCGGATCTAGGTCTTACCATGAGACCTACGGTAATAGCTTATTCCCTATATGGGAAATTCGCTAAAAGGTTATTTTGTTTTTAAAAGGCTTATGTGTAACTATTTTATCAACAGATGTAAAGATCAAAATGTTTCTATTTTGTGTTCTCTTCCCGTTGCAAAGCACGGGTACAACAGCTAGTATCATTATATATTTCAAATTAATTTCTGATTTAAAAAACTTTGGATGGATACCATAATTATCCTCAAGCATAGTTTGGCCTAGGTAGCAAGTTTTAACTACCTACTTTCTTGCACGAAAGAAACAGTAGTACAATAAATCATAATACAAGTGTGAAAAATGTTGAATTATTGTAAAGCCTTCAAACGGCAGAACACAATTGATATACACAAGATAGTTGAGATAGCATTGACAAATTTGAAGGAGACTGCAGCTGCAGGTGCCGTGAATAGATATGTCATTCGGAGTTTAAAAAAGAACGACTCTTATTATATATGCATCTGGACTCAACCGAGCTGTTCAGCAAGAGCTGTTCACCTTCAATTTGAATCTCCCGCTCTTTGTCGATCTGTTTTGGTTGTCGACATTTTGCGTGTCGATAAAGTGGGAAAATTTACACAACCGTCCCACTTTGTAGACATCCCAAATAACCGACATCCCATATTACCGACACTGTCGACATTTTGAGTTGTCGACAATATGGGACTATTTCAGTGTCGATCTTTTGGGATGTCGATAAACTGGGACCCCACGCTTTTTGACACCCCACAATTAAAATTCAAGGGAGAGCGCATATTTTATGAATTTCCACAACCCATAGACATTTTTGAGAAAGCACAATTTTTTCTAGACATTTTTTCTTAGTTGTCTTACAACAAGGACTTTGTCTCAAAAAAATTTTACAATTCTGCAATTTAATTTTGATAAGAAATCTTATAGTCCTGTGTTAATACATATGCAACTATTGTCTCTATTAAAAATTAAAAAGAAAATAAGTGGTATCTATTCATAAACACCACTTCAGTTTAATTGTCCCGTGCAACACGTGTTGCAATGTATTATAAACACTTTTTTTTAAATGTATTATAAAACAAAAAATAAAGTACATAAAAAATAGTAAACTACATTTTTGCCTTCATTTTATATTTTATCTTTATTGCTTTGAAGTTGTAATAAATAATATAAATTAGTTTGGGATTTAAAACAAAAATCTCACCTTTTGTGTGTTGCACGGGACAAGCAAACATGGATTAGAAATTTAACAATATCTCAAAATCTATTTAATATTTCTATTTTATTTTACAAAGGTTTAACAAATTATATTTTCAATTATTTACTAATATAAGTTATTTCAATTTATTGAATTATCTAACTATAAACATTTTTACTTAAAATTCTGGAAAAAAGTACCATTTGACTGTAATAGAACTTGCCCAAGTTTGAAGCTTCATTTCATGAAAAATAATTTTTTATTTTAATTTTAAAGACTGGTTAAGGGAGATTTTATTATTGTTTTATATAAAAAACAATATTTAACCAGTTTTAATCAATTCTTGAAAATAACAAAGCAGGACCACTTCCCAGAGACCCAGCCAGAGAATCGCCCTTTAGTTTTGTTGCCACAATCTTGCGGGCCTGCTCTCCTGGAACAAAATGCATATGTCAATATGGTGCTTTCAATTATTTAAAAATAAAATCACATGTGGCAGTAGGGGGGCCTATTATAGATGATGGTTATGAAAGAATTTACTGCCAATCTCTACATAGCCATTCGTGAAGGAAACAAAGACTGACCCCAAAGTTCAGAGGACACCGTTAACCGTGAATAACAGGCCCAAAAAGCCAGCTTTGATGATTACTAAAGTTAATTAAAACCCTTTTACTACATAAATACTACCGGTATTCTCTTCCAATGAATGTAATGATTACTAATCAAACGACTGGACACAACGTTTTTGCCAATTTTTTAAATTGTTTTGGCTTATTTAGACGTTTATCTAAAGCTAAGTTACATATACTTGGGTTGCTGACATGAAGTTTTTTTTTTAAGATCATGGCTCAGGTTGTTGGTGTTGAGGCAGTGTATAGTTGTCTCTAGTTCGGATGTGGAAAGCAGTGGATCACTCTGTTGAACTGCTCTCTCACTGTAGAGCCGATGTTCAGGCATAACTTTTGGTTCTTCATATGGAGTCTGCATGCTGAGATGAGAAGATTGATTTTGGCAATTACTCTCCCTGGCTGGGTGTTTGTAGCCATGTCTACCAATTGTTTCACTTGAGCATATAATCTCCTTCAACAAGAGCGCAACCACACCTTTTCACGATCTATTAATATGAAGTCCGTGAGAAGTATGATGTCGCCTTCCGAGATAGAGGTGCAGGTCCAGAAGTTTTAAGTGAGAGTATCTTTAAATCATACCTCTGATAGAGTGATTTATACTATCAATAATAAAGTTCTCCTTTGATTTATTTTCAAGATCATACCTTAATGGAATGGTATGAGAATGAGAATGAGATTTTATTTGCCAATTAATATTCCATACAAATGCATTGGCACATCAAATTAGTCATAACATAACATAAATTAAAATCCAGTGGAGTCAGTGTTCTTGACATATAATCTTCTATTGAGTATAATGGCTGATTACAAAGAAAGTTATTTATTTTAATCTTGAAATCCTTATCACTAAATAATCTTATGGCTATTGGTAACTTGTTATAAAATTTACTGCTTAAAATTAATGTTTTTTATCAGTCTTAGCAAGTCTAACATATAGAGCAAGAGCCCATGACTGCCAGACCTTCATTATTTTATAAAAGCTGAAAGTTTCGCAGCAAATGCTCCCAGTTCAGTTAAGAATGATCGGCAACTATGACATTTGGATTTTGGTTACTTTGGTAAAAAGGTAACAAAGGTCTGAAATTTGCAAATAACCATTGTTATAGTATAAAGCTTGGTTCTTTCATATTTTCTTCAGAGGAATGTTAGAAATCATTTCCCCCATTGCCAGACACTTTGTGCGGTTTAAACCCTCTGCCAGACACCCTTAAAAACTAGGTATGACGAAGATTAATTTTCGTCATTTTATAAAAGCTGAAATTGATATATGTTATTTGGGGAGCTATCAAAAGACGTTTTCTCAAAAGCCAGACACTTTCGTTGGTAACTTCATCTAGCCAGACACTTTAAAGTCTGCCGTAATAAGCTTAACTGTTACCTGCAAACAGTGAATTCAGTTCCAGTTTGGAACAGGCTTCTGTGCCAAATGTAAACGGTTAAATTACTTTCTTTCTTCCTCACAGTCTATTTTTATGTGGAAACCAAGATTTAGGTCTTATAAAATTTTAACTTGACACAGCAGCAGTAACCATGGCTGATGTAACCATGATTCCAGTAGGAGTTGTCCGTGATTTTATTAAGACTCTGAATCAGAATCAGAATCAGAAAAGCTTTTCAAGATGCTATTCAAGATTCAAGAGCTATTCAAGCTATTCAAGCTATTCAAGATGCTATTCAAGAGCTATTGCTATTCAAGATTTATACATTATATACCTACATGAAATATATGCATAAATACAGAATGGCGTCAAAACAGCTTACTGATTAAAAATACTTGGTTAAACTAAATAAAACAGGAAAATTTAATTAATGTAATTACATGTTGTAAAACTCTTCAAATGAGTAAAATGCTCTATTAGTAAGGCTAGGATTATACTAGGACGCTGGCGTCCGAGAGGCCAGCGTCCGGGACGCTAGCGGGGCATTAAATCAAATGGGGGCGATTATACTATGGATGCTAGCGTCGGATGCTAAAAAAGCCACCGGACGCTCGAAGCTATTACCGTAGGTGGCATGGTAAGACCTAGGCCCGGGACCGACTAAACATTGAAATAAATTGGCAGTCCGAGAGGCTAGCATCCCAACACAAATCACGTCATTTATCGGCTCGAGGTGGGACGCTAGCCTCTCGGACGCTGGCCTCTCGGACGCCAGCGTCCTAGTATAATCCTAGCCTAACAATTTAAGTTTTTTTTTTTTTTTAAGACCTAATGTTTTTTATATCAAATATTTCTTTTGGTAGATGGTACAAAAACTTAATACCTGCAGCTGTTGGTTTCTTGTTATAAAACTCCAGTTTGTGTTGTGTTACGGATGGATAATTTTTATGCCTAGTATTATATCTATGATTATCCCCCAGCAGTGGCACCTTGTCTTCAGAAGCCCTCACATGCATAATAGTGTGCAATATATATGAGCTGTAAACTGTTAGAATTTTTAATTTAGGAAAATAATTTTTGGCCGATTCTTCATCATCCAGATTTAACATGATTCTTATTGCCCTTTTTTGAAGGATTAGAATACTTTGTAAATTTTGATTACTTGTAGCTCCATATAACTCAATACCAAATGTAATGTGTGAGTTGATATGTGCATGGTAAACCTTAAGCAATATCTCAAGGGAACAAAATTTTGACAGATTTCTTAAGGCAAATAAACCCGAGGAAATTTTATGTAACAATTTATCCGTATGGAGTGACCATGATAAATTTTCATCAAGCAATAAACCCAAAAATTTTGTTACCTTTACCTGAGTAATTTGGAGATCATTTACTTTAATACAGAATTCTGGATTTTTCTTTTGTGCTGTACTGAATGACATAAAATTGGTTTTATTAAAATTGAGAAATAATTTATTGAAGTTTAAGTAGTTTTTATAGATAACAGATTGTTTTGGGCCGACTCTTGTATTTTATTAAAACATTTACCAGAAACTAACAAATTTGCATCATCAGCATATAGACACAATTTTGCCATATTATCTGTTAATGCTGTTGGCAGACCTTTAATATAACAAAGAAATAAAATGGGACCAAGAATCGAACCTTGAGGTACACCATATTTGATACACCTCAAAGAGGATTTTACATTTCTTAATTGGTTGAAATTATTTATATGATTAATTTCCACATATTGTAATCTGTTTTCAAGGTAAGATTGAAACCAATTTAAAGCATTGTTAGCAAAACCAAATTTTTTTTAAATTGAAATTAATGTTGAATGGCAGACACTATCAAAGGCTTTACTAATATCCATAAACACCCCGACAGTGCTCTCACCCTTATCAATAGCATCAATTATAGTTTCTATCAAATCAATTGTTGCAGTGACAACAGATTTACCGGGCCTGAATCCATGTTGCTCAGTATCAAATAAGCTATTATTTTCTAAGAAATTCATTAATCGTGAATGCAAGGCACGCTCATAGATTTTTGATAAGCATGGCAAAGCAAAATAGATAATGGTCTGTAATTAGAAGGGTCCTTATTGCTACCAGATTTATGTAATGTTTTAATTTTAGAGATTTTTAATTTACTTGGAAATATTCCTGAAATGAAAGAAGAGTTGATTAAATGAGCCAATGGTTTAGCTAAAACATCTTTAGCACTTTTTAAAACAGGCATAGGAATTTCATCAAAACCACAGGTAAACTTGTTTTCAAAAGAAGAAAGAATCTTGTCTACTTCAGCTTCATCAACAGGCTTTAAATAAAATTTTACTGAATTTGCAGGATTTGAGATTGCACCAAGAGCTCCCGAAGACAAGTTTCCAATCCTATCTACCAAACTTACAAAATGATCATTAAATATTTCGCATATATCATCGGGTTCAGTGTATTCAAAGTTGCCAATTTTTAATTGGATTTCATTTTCACGTACTCGGTTTCTGTTTAGTTCCCTATTAATAATATTCCAAGTAGTTTTTGAGACATTAAGTTTACTGGCATTTCTTATATTGCTTTCGATATAATGTCGTTTAGTACTATTTAATTGGGCTGCGTAGCTTCTTTTCAGGTCTTTTAGCTTTTTTATTAAAAACTTATCCTTATTTACCCTAATTTCTCGGCTTAATAGTATTATTTCATCTTTAGCTAACTTAAGTTCCGGAGTTATCCAATTTTTTGATTTTGAACAGGCACGAGATTTTAACTTAGGAAAGCAACTATCAAAATAAAACATAAGGATATTAAAAAATAAAATCATATTTTTCCTCTACAGTCGCTAAATATAAATCAGTCCACGTTTCCTGTGCAAGATAATTTTTTAATTTGGTTAAATTTTCAGGAAGGAATTTTTTACTAGATTTAATAGTAGGTTTGTTAAACTTTTGTTTAGAAGAGATGTCCCGAATTTCTAAGAGTTGAGCGTCATGATCAGAGAGCTCAAGTGATTAGGCCTGATACTAAAAGATTGTTTTTAGGAATTGTAGTAAATATATTATCAATACCGCTTTCACCCTCTAATGTTATTCTAGTAGGAAAGTCTACCAAATAATGCATATTATATTCATTTAAAATATTATTGAATATCTGATAGCCCTTGGAAAACTTAAGAACCTTAATATTAATGTCTCCAGCCACAATTACTCTTTCATATTTTTCAAAAATAAGGCCTAACAAACTATCTAATTTTTCAACAAAAATATTTTCGTATACAGATCCTGGAGGAAAGTGCAAATGCCTCCTAGGAAAGTGCAAATCCCCTGTGTTTAGCGCAAAGAAGAAAGAACGAATCAATATTTTGGGAACTTTAAGGCTAAAGCTTGAACATAAGGGTGTATCAGTTTATGATCTTGCGTATATTTCTGAGGAGATCACTGTTCCACTTCTTAGCAGACGTTCCTGTGAAGAGCTGAACCTGGTGAGGAGAATTTTTTCTGTAGATTCACCTGATATTGACTGGGCTACTAAGTATCCTAATTTATTTCAAGGGTTGGGAAATATGAAAGGAGAGTACAAGATTGAAATGAAGGAGAATGCAGTTCCTTACGCTATATCCACCCCCAGGGTTGTACCAATACCTTTAAAAACCAAGGTGAAAGAGCAGTTAGACGATATGCTTGAGAAAGGAGTGATTGTTCCAGTTGAACACGCGACTGATTGGTGCGCACCAATGGTAGTTTGCGCAAAAAAGGGAGGTGGGGTTAGTGTCATATGTTTGTTATTCTGTAATATTGATTTAGTAATTATTAAGATCATCTGGAGATTGTTGTTGTTTTGTATTTACAAATAATTCAGTATGTAACATTTATTCATAAAATAAAAGTTGTTAATACACTATAAAACTTCATTATTTGACATAGTTAATAAGGTAGCTCCAAGATCATACACAGTTAAGACAAACGAAGGCATGTTACGTCGCAACGGGGTAATGCTAAGACAACTACAACCCAAAACATCTGATGACCCTGGAACTGAGCCTAATTGTTTTTCCTCATTTGGTAGACCAATAAATCCACCAAGAAGAACATGTCTTTAAAAAGAGGAAGAGAAGACACTATAAAACTTCATTATTTGACAGTTAGGATCTGCGTAGACCTATCCAAACTCAACAACATAACAACAGTGAAACGTCGGTTTTATCCTAGTCCAAAGATTGAACTTTCATTGGCCGAGATTGCGGGAGCCGAGTACTTCAGCAAGATCGATGCAAATTCCGGGTTCTGGCAACTGAACCTTGCAGAGGAGTCACAAGATTACACAACCTTTATCACCCCTTTCAGGAGGTATAAATTCCGTAAGTTACCTTTTGGAATTACGTCCGCTCCTGAAGAGTTTCAGCGCCGCATGTCAAAAGCTTTAGAAGGGGCAAAGAACTGTTTAGTGCACATTGACGACTGTCTGATATGGGGAAGAACGAAAGAAGAACACGACGAGTGTCTTAGGGCCGTTCTAGAGAGAGTGCAAGCTAATGGAATCACCTTGAATAAGCAGAAGTCTAAGTTCTGCAATAAGACTGTGACATTTTTGGGGTTTGTGCTGTCTAAGGACGAAATCAAGCCTGATCCAAGCAAGGTACAAGCGATTGTGGACTTACCAGCTCCAAGAAATGCTAATGAAGTACAAAGATTCATGGGCATGATCACTTTTCTGGCAAAATTTATTCCGAACCGCAGTGAGATTTTGGAGCCAATTACGAGCTTGTTAAAGACTAAAACCGATTTCTTTTGGGGACCAGCTCAAGAAAAAGCTTTTGTCACAGTAAAACAGATTTTATCATCAGAGCCATGTTTGACTGTTTACGATCCGCAAAAACCCTCGATTCTTTCTTGTGATGCTTCAAAAAAAGGTCTTGGAGCGGTTTTACTTCAAGTTGAAGGAGAAAACAAGAAACCTGTGGCATATATATCTCGGACTCTAACGCCTGCTGAAGAAAACTATAGTAACATTGAGAGAGAAGCGCTTGCGTGCACATGGGCAAGTAACCGTTTGAAATGTTTCCTAATGGGTAAAATGTACACAATTGAGACCGACCACAAACTGCTTGTCTCAATTTTCAAAACACAAAATTTGGACGAGCTCTCACCGAGCTACAGCGATTCCGAATGCGTATAATGAGATACGATTATTGCATGACCTGGACCCTAGGAAAAGACCTTGCCATAGCAGATCTACTATCAAGAAGTCCTATTCCGGCTAATGAAGATGGCGAATTGACTAAAGAAGTGGAAGCCTTCGTCCACGAAATCAGTCTGATTAGTATAAACACTACAGACGAAAATGTGACAAAGGTACTTCACTCACAAATGAGAGATCCAATCTGTGCACAGCTTAAGTTACAAATTTTAGACGAATGGCCTGTAAATTAAAGTTTACCTAATGAGATTCAAGAGTACTTTAACGTGAAAGACGAGTTAAGTTGTATTGATGGGTTATTGCTTCGAGGAACTCGGATGATAATACCTCAGGAACTACGAGCGGAAATGCTCAAGAGGCTTCACAGTGGACACTTGGGAATCACAAAAACAAGGAAACGTGCTTTGGGAACCATGTGGTGGCCTGGAATTTCTCAAGAAATAGAAAGGATAATCAAATCGTGTCCAGTGTGTATTCAGAACTCAACTAATCACAGTGAACCGTTGATTCCGAGAACTGTCCCGGATTACCCGTGGCAAAATGTGTCTGTTGACTTGTTCAAACACAAAGACAAGTGGTATATGGTTATCGTGGATCACTACTCAAGATACTTTGAAGTCGAGGAAATGCATCGAATGAGGGCTTCAGATACCACATTTTCACGTTTTGGAATTCCTCAACGTGTTTATTCAGATAGTGGGACACAGTTTCACCATATTGACTCAAGTGAATTTAAATTGTTTGCAAAGGAGTGGGGGTTCTCCACATTCAGAAGTAGTCCCCACCACCATCAGGGAAATGGGGCAGCTGAAGCAGCTGTGAAAGTAGCAAAAGGGCTAATGAAGAAAAACAAGGATAAATTTGAACTTGCCCTACTTTCTTACCGGACCTCACCTCTTGAAACCGGCTTTTCCCGATCTGAACTTATGTTTGGAAGGAAATTAAGAGACAATCTTCCATCTACTTTGGTTGGAAATCCTGTGGAAAACAAGAATTTTCTTGAGAGGGTGAATAAGTACCAGAATAAATACAAGATACAATTTGATAGACGACATGGAGCGAGTGGTTTAAGTAAATTAGAAGTTGGAAGCATGGTATGGATCACAGATCTACGTCGACACGGTAAGGTAGTCGGGAAATTGAACGAACCACATTCCTACCTGGTGGAAACTGACAAGAGAACCATTCGCCGAAACAGGAAGTTCTTAGTTCCTGCACCGTACTACGGAGGAGATGGTATACTTTCAATCTTGAGGCGGGATGTTGTATTAAGTCTGTTCTTGTTATCATATGATTTATTTGTGTTTAAATATGTTTTGTTGTCAGATGATTTTTGTAAACATGTTTCTGTAAACATTGGTTTAGTTTGGAAATAGAGTTTGTTGAAGCAAGATGTGTGAATAATAATCTTGTATAAGAAATAGAACAATTATGTTACAGTATAAGATTGTTTAGTTTGGCTGCTAGTGAAGGTTTTTGACGGGATAATTGATTTACAAGTCCCACAATAACTAAATAAACAAAAATTTTCAAGGTTACTTACCCCGTACTTCTTGGGGAAACAGTAACAGGGGTTGCAAAGTTTTCCCCTTGCCTCCAGTTGGTATCCACCAACACCCCACAGTTTCTGCATATTTTCTGTAGCCACATGAAACAGAAGTTAAGTCTGTAGTGAAAAATAATATAGGCTAGTGGAAGATATGACCTTTGAAATTAGTCTAGTCATTGAGTAGTGGAGGTAGTGGTGGAGGTGGAGGAAAATTTTAACAACAAAAAATCAGTTATCACATCTCCAAATTTCAAAAAGTTTAAGTACAAAACCCTCTCTCTTAAGCAACCTCCAGGACCCTAGATCAAATAACCTGCAAAGTCAATCAAAGGGGTATGAATGTAAACATGTTATTTGGAAAAGTCAGTTATTTTTTTATTTTCCTGCGTTGTCAATAGCAAAAGTAAATCTGCAAGAACACAATTTTTTTACTAGCCCACTATGCTTAGGACGGGAACAGAAGTCATTGGATAGCTTAGATTGCTAATCACACTCACATTTACATAAAGAATCGGACATTCTATATACTTTTTATCCAAATATTAAATATGGTTAAGAAATAAGTGAAAACCCAAATCAAATAGATTATGTTTCTTTAAAAAATATCAATAAAATTCAAAATATTGTAATATCTATCCAAGATAATGAAGGAAATTTTATAAATAATGAAAATGTTAAGAACATTGTGTATTTGAGATTGAAAAAAAAGAATCTTCTATATAAACTTATTTGTTATTATTTCCAAACAGGCGATTAGAAGAAAAAAAACCCGGGTTCCCATGGTCTGGTCATGCTGTTTCTCGAACTCATTATGGTTTATCGCGCCTTACACTTTCATGCCAAATTTTATCAAAATCAGACAAAAATTACTCAAGTTATCACGTTCATGGACGTATATATGATATATTGGCTATACATATATAAAAATTTGAATGAATAGTGTTTTTGGCCTCTAGGGACATCAAAATGGAAAAGTATATCGGTCCCGGAACTAAGTGCAACCTACGGTAATAGCTACTTCCCTATAGGAAAATTAGATAAAAGAGTGTCATGTCGAAAATTTTTAAAATTGACAAAAATTTTTTTTGTAAGTATTAAAAGATATACCTTTCCTTCACACAATGATAACCTCCACAATTACTTAAATACCCCCGCCGCAGCAAACCTGCAGACTAAGCGAATTTCCATCTGCCTGATTGGTTTTTACTTAAACATGCTTTCTTCTACGTGTCCAGTTTATCCCTATTTATAGTCCCTATGTTGAGTCGTAGAGAATTTTAAATCTTAAAAATTATTAAATTATTAAATTATTAATTAATGTATTAATTTAATTTTACCCAAAGGCAATCGGAGAGCATGAAATAAAAACTCTGCTTCTCAGTTCACACACTTTTTAATATCAGGTTTTAAAATTGGATATATTTAATTATGACAAGAACTGTTATCTTAGATTAGAATAGGCCTATTAAATGAAATCTTCCGGAAGGTTAAAACTTTTAAATCCTAAAAATCTGATAGAAATATTGTAAGAGTATTTTGAATTATTGCTAAATAAATTAAGTTAAAAAATATTTTCTACTTGCGGAGTCTTTCTTGAGAAGTCCAGGTTGTGGTGAGTTTCAAGTGAAGTCGTGACGTGGGTAGCGAAGCGGTTGTAAGAGGGTTGGAGCCGGCGATGTTGTCTGGGAAAGTTCCAGAGGGTTGGCCTCAAAGGAGTAGCTAGGAGAGTAGAGGTTCGACGTAGAGAGACTCTGCTAGTGGTCCAGTGATGCCCGTAGAGGAGAGGGATGACTTGAGCTTAAGAGTGGCGTGAAGGTTGACGACAGGAGAGAATTACCAGTCCATTCACTTGTAGAGGTTTCATCCAAATATTAATACTGAAGATTTACTTCATTCATTTCACATCACTGTCACTGATACACTGAACTGTACTATGTATGTTCTAACATTGGTTATAATTAAAAGAGAGAATTTAGACTACATTTTGAATCTATAACTACAATATATTTGAGGACATGTTAACTAGAAGGCAGTAGTGTGTAGACTGAGACAGAGCAAAAAGTGAAAGCATAAAACAAGAACAATACTGTCTGGCAGATAAGTAAAACGAATATAGATAAAACCAAAAATAATGGAATGCATTGGAAATACCAGTGCCCAGCCTATAAAAAAAACCTATAAAAGCATTCATTACTTTTATCAGTAGTTTATTCTGATATTATATTCAAAACTCTACATACCGCCCACCCAAATGAATATTTGCAAACGTAAAAACAAAAAATCAAACAAAACAAAAAAGGAAAGGGTAGTTTATGAGTCAAAGTCAGAGGGAGGGAAAGGAACCAGCTTGTGAACTGGGCGCACAAACGTCCCTTGTGCGGTTTTGATCTTGACTGCTCTTACTATTCCGTCACGTCCAGGGAAAGTTTCTTCTATTCGCCCGATTGGCCATTCAAGTGGGCTGGTGTTCTTCATTTGGAGGTATGCTACATCACCAACTTTGACATTGGGTTGAAGGGAAGTCCATTTTCTACGAGGAATCAGGGTTTGAACGTATTCCTGTGACCATCTCTTCCAAAAACACTGAACAGCCTGTTGTAGAAGTTCATATCTTTGTAGTCTGTTCATGGGTGTGTCACTGCAGTCAATTTCAGGTGGAGCTAAGAGTGGCGAGCCAATAATAAAGTGACCTGGGCTCAAATAGTCGCCATCGTTAGGGTCTGTGATCATCGTTCCGATTGGTCTGCTATTGAGAATAGCCTCTATGCGTGTCAACAAAGTGTTCATTTTTTCTAGGTGAGAACAAGTGTGCCCATTACTCGTTGCAAGTGATGTTTGGTGGATTTAACAGCGGCCTTCCATAGTCCACCAAAGTGAGGGGCTGCAGGTGGATTGAAGTTCCATTTGATTTCCTTTTTGGCTAGATGCTGTGATATCTCTGGATTGGATATTTTTAAAAACTCCTGAATCTCTTTGAAATGATTTGAGGCACCTTGAAAGTTGGTACCACAGTCACTGAAAATCTGCTTACAAAGACCTCGTCTAGCACAGAATCTATCAAGAGCAGCAAGAAATGATTTTGTTGATAGACTTGTAGCAAATTCAAGATGGACTGCTTTTGTGGACATACAAATGAAGATTACCAAATAACCCTTTGATCGTGGAGCTTTTCTCCTATCACTTTCTTTGAATTCAAATGGGCCTGCATAGTCAAGTACTACATTGAGGAATACCCTGAGGTTTTGAAATCTTGCAGAAGGTAGATCAGCCATTTTGGGTGTCATGAACGCTTTTGGGCTTTGCCTTGAACATGTAACATTTGTTACATTTGAATATTCTTTCTCGTAATAATTGGCGTAATCCACTGATCCAAAATTTTGATTGTATGAGAGATTGGGACAATCGAGGACCACCATGTAAAGATAGTTTATGATAGTGATCACATAACAGAGTTGCTAAGCAAGATGATGTTGGTATTAGGATAGGATGTTTTCTGGAGAATGAAAGTTGGGAGTGTTTTAAACGTCCGCCCACCCTGAGATAACCTTCTTCATCGAGAAATGGAGCTAGAGATCGATACTTAGTGGTGCACATTTTCTGTTCCTTTATGTTTTGTATTTCACCTGAGAGATATTGTTCTTGAACATTTTTGACACATAACATTAATGAGTCGTTTAACTCTTGAGCGGTTATTGGCCCTTGCCTTTTGCTTATTCCTTTCTTTTGACTTTGAAGATAAAAGATAAATCGTAACAAGTAGGCAAGAACGAACTGCACTTTTGACAAGCTAGATAATTTTTCCATAAGTTTCATTACTATGTTGTTATCGAGACTAGTTGTTAGGAAACATTCTGATTTCAATTCGGGGAGATGAATTTCTTCTGTGGGTTTTACATTTGATGATGGCCATTGGGTTGAGGGTTCATGAAGGAAGGAAGGACCTTTCCACCACAAATCAAAATCAACTATATCTTCAGGAAGCATGCCTCTGCTGGCACAATCACAGGGGTTTTCTTTCGAAGCTACATGACGCCATTGTGTTGGGTTAGTCTCTTCTAAAATGTCAATTACTCTGTTGGCAACAAAAGTTTTCAATTTGTATGGAGGGGTTTTGAGCCATGACAACACAGTAGATGAGTCCGAAAACAGTATGATTGTTGATGGGTCAAAATTGAGATGTTTTACTGAAATTACTATTTGCATAAGTAACTGAGCCGCAGAAAGTTCTAGTCGGGGAATACTCATTGTTTTTAATGGTGCAACTTTACTTTTGGCTTTTATGAGGTGTACTCTGATTCCAGCTGAGGTTTCAGTACGGATGTACAAGTTAGCAGCGTAACCCTTTTCAGAAGCGTCACAGAAGCCTATCAGTTGTGTGGAATTTGAGGAATGCTGTGGGAATGAATCGTTGGATCTTAATATTTGAAAGTTGTGGGAGAGTAGAAATGAACAGAGACCATTTACTACTTATTTCATTTGGAAGAGGTTCATCCCAGTTCAAACCAAGAAGCCATAACTTTTGCATCAGATGCTTAACATAGAATGTAACTGGAGTGATCCAACCTAGCACATCGTATATTTTTGATATTTCAGATAGCATTGATCGTTTTGTGAAAACTAGAGGGTTGAGCTTAATCGAGTATGAAAAAGTATCATCATAGGAGTTGTACTGCAGTCCAAGAATTTTCATTCCAGGATCTTCATCTGAACATAAGACGAGTGGTTGTTCACGGTGATCTTCTGGTACGTTGTCTAGGATAGGTTTGTAATTACTGGACCATTTGCGTAAAGTGAATCCTCCTAAATCTAACAGTTTGATGAGTTCACTCTATAGCTGCAAAGCTTGTTCTGGTGTGTCAACACTGGTGCATATGTCATCAACAAAGGTCTGATGCAGAATGGCGTTTGAGGCTAGAGGGAATCGCTTTCCTTCATCTTTGACAAGCTGCAACAAAACTCGCTGGGCTAGGAATGCACTTGATGTGACACCATACGTGAGAACGTTGAGTTCATACTCCTCAATAGGTCCATTTGGTAAGGTTCTGTAAAATATGTGCTGCAAACTCCGTTGCTCAGGAGCTACAACAAT